TAATACTTATTGAAACTCATATTTTATTATACCTTTGGTACAAAAAAAAACCGCTGTCCTGGAAAGAATCGGAAAACAACTGACACGTTTTTTTTTGTCAAAGATTTATTTGAATACACAATTACGCACGATGTTATTGCCAAAAAATTTCGTTAGAGTAAATCGTCTTACAGTCTGTTGAGTAAGTCAGTGTCTGACGAAGCTATCATGGTAACATTATTTGACTATTCAAATAATGTTTTTTTTTATTTGTTTGTGATTCGCCGTACAAGACAAAAGTCTCTAAATAAACAAAGAGAAAAACAAAACGGGATTACTGATAATAATATTTTACCATAGTCTGAGTAACAAATAGTATTATAGATACTACAACCTTGACAGTCGATATTTGTTGTTTGACTCAATTTTTGTTGAATTGCGGTATTTTCTTTTTGATAAGGTTGGAAGCTTGTTACAGCCAGGTAGGTAGGCTACCGAAGTATCATATTAAGCAAATGGATCCTATCTAACTTGCGTTTTTCTTGAGACGACTTGAATAATATAAATCACCTTTTTACCCATCAGTCCGTAAAAGTCTAAGTTGTCATGGATGTCTAACACTGTGATTTGCCACGATTACAGACGTCTCGCACCGTTGATTTTTTTACTTTGACCTTTACCTACTCGTATCCCAAGTCTGAATATTTTACATCTCATTCATTCTTCATGCATTACAGTCTATCAAAGTTCACTGTTGCACAAAGTAAGTACGAACACAAAGTAAGTAATATTTGAAATGGTTGCCACGTTTGGCAGCTTTGTTTTTTTTATACGATAGGATGACAAGCGAGCACACAGTCCACCTGATGGTAAGTGGTTGCTGTGGCCCATAGACATCTACATCTATCCTCGTTTGCGAATCAAAATGCAGATCGTTGTCACCCATGAGGACTAAGATGGAATGCCTCTTATCCAGTAAAAAGGGTCTCCGGTTCTCTACACTCACCATACGAAACACAGCAGTGTTAAGCTGCTATTTTACGCTGGTATTCTGTGAGAGCGTGGTCCTTCCCCGGTGGAGCCGACCCATTCGTGCTACAACTATTGTTACGGCCCGCAGCTGCCCTTGCAAAGGTTCAATATCCGGGGCCCATGAGCGGAAGATTCAACGGGCAGCCGCGGGTTCGAGCCCGAATGGCTATATGGAAATGTCCTATCATAATAAACTATATGGGAGAATGCTAGAAACACATAGTACGTACTAGTATCAGAAGCTAACTTCGCACCAAGGCTCGGTCAGGCCGTGAGTGGGTGTAAGGTGAATGGCAAGTAGTGTTCAGTGATGAGTAAATATCTGAGACCTTGACCAACTTAGGCGACCAGCAGCGGCCGAGTTCCAGGATGCCCCACAATGCTGCATCGCTCCAGCAGGCTCCACCGCTGGACCATTTCTTTCTTCATTGTCACTATTTCAGTCTATTAGCTTCATTGTACATTTAACTAACTTAAACTCGCCTAATTCCACATTCATCGTAGAATCGAACACGTGATACCCGACACTATAAGGACAGTAGTTCAAAATTCGACATTGAATGTCCCGGATTCACTTATCACAAAATTATAAATAGGGAATTAAAGCGATCTCTTAATGAGTCATACGGTTCAGCGTTAAACACAACTAAGTTCCTTCATTCGACACCAAAACACCACGTCGCGAAAAGAATTCAAAATACGCCTCGTTGACACGTAAACTGACAAGCCAACCAACACACAAAAAAGGGCACTTAACGCGACGGCACAATTATAATGATTTCCTGACAACCAACAGGGAGAAGCTCTCGAACAAAGAATGCGTGGTTCGAATCCTAGACCGTATATCTACTCGACGCGCGCGTGCACAATTCCGCATCCCCGAACAAGTTAAATATTGCAAAATTCACATATCCACGTAAGGAAGTAACACGCACTTAATCTAACTATCTGGACCCTACAATGGTCGCGCGAACTTCGGCCGCGATAAAGGAGCTACACGGGTTCCCCGCATCGCGGCCAGTGGGCAATTCACTCCTTCGCCCACGCGTCGAGCCACACAAGCCGCACACCGCCGCCCCACCTGGCGGCGTTTTTTCACCTACATACTATCGGGTGACGCGACAGCTCGAACGCAATTGGATGGCGTTCAACATGACCAAATTGGGCATAAACAACTATATTACTAATATAGCAGCAGTATGGCTCTACCAAGTATAAATCTCTAGTTGTTGAAAGTGATGCTGCTCATCTCCTGGTTTTTTTTACTTCCGGAGCCCTTTTACGAGACCCACGAGATGACATGTGTCAGTGGATATTCGTATACGCCTACTAAATGTGCAATAAAAAACAATGATGAAGATGTAAAAAATATGTTATAATCGTTTTTCTGTTTTTATAGGATAGGGTGACAAACGAGCACACAGTCCACCTGATGATAAGTGGTTACTGTGACCCATAGACATCTACATCTATCCTCAATAAAGACTCAAAATGTAGATGCGTTGTCAGCCGTGAGGACTAAGATGGAATGACTCTTTGCCAGTAAAAAGGGTCTCCGGTTCTTTACACTCACCATACGAAACACAGCAGCGTTAAGCTGCTATTTTATGCTGGTTTTCTGTGAGAGCGTGGTCCTTCCCCGGTCGAGCCGACCCATTCGTGCTACAACTATATTACTAATATAGCTGCAGTATGACTCTACCAAGTATAAATCTCTAGTTCTTGAAAGTGATGCTGCTCATCTCCTGGTTTTTTTTACTTCCGCCGCTTTTTACGAGACCTACGAGATGACATGTGTCAGTGGATATTCGTACACGCCTACTAAATGTGCAATAAAAAACAATGATGAAGATGTAAAAAAATATGTTATAATCGTTTTTCTTTTTTTATAGGATAGGGTGACAAACGAGCACACAGTCCACCTGATGGTAAGTGGTTACTGTGACCCATAGACATCTACATCTATCCTTAATACAGACTCAAAATGCAGATGCGTTGTCAGCCGTGAGGACTAAGATGGAATGACTCTTTGCCAGTAAAAAGGGTCTCCGGTTCTCTACACTCACCATACGAAACACAGCAGCGTCAAGCTACTATTTTACGCTGGTTTTCTGTGAGAGCGTGGTCCTTCCCCGGCCGAGCCGACCCATTCGTGCTACAACTATATTACTAATATAGCTGCTGCATGGCTCCACCACGTATAAATTTTTTATATATTTTTCTCCTTTATATACATAATTACATACATATAATTCTTTTATACGTTTTACATACATAACTACATACACATAATTCTTTTATACGTGTGTTTGTCACTGGACTCCTCCTGGACACAGATTTTGATGAAATTTTTGTGTGCGTTTAAGTAGATCCTTGGATGATTTAGCTTCAGGATTAGACCCGGTAAGTGGCACTATTGACCAGATCCAGAAATAACCTGTGCGTAGCAGGTTCAGATCGCTAGTATGCTATAAAATTGCATCTGGTAAATGCGAGTTGATTGTGAATAAACGATAACCTTGTGGTGATGGCGTATGAGATTCCATCTCCCCGTTTCGTCCCTGGGTAAGGGGCGACTATAGCATATGCTAAAAATATCTTATGGCTCCTAATACATGGTGGTAAAATAATTCTCATTTACGTTAGGCGTAAAATGCCCAGGACTTCGACTGACAGCTGCGTCAAACGTACGAAACGTCAGTAGTTTTAATTGTCATTTCGCCTGCCAAATGTGATGGTTAATATCTGTCTGCAATTATAGACGGATATGTCCAGCAGTGGACTTATATGGGCTAGTGACGATGAAGAAATATAAGTACAATATGTTCCCTTTAAAAAAAACAAGTACAAGCTTATACATTCATCTAGCGGAGACCATCAAATCACTTAGTTCAGAAATGTTATTCTCATAGTCGCTTGTTACGACCCCCACGGGATATAGAACTGGTTTCTAAACGAAAAACATTAACGCACTTGGATTCGATATCCATGTGTAGTGTATAATGAAACTACCTTTAAAGCTTTGCCAATTATCACCTTGAAATGTGTAGATGCAAAGTATCATTGCAGCATTGCATTCTAATAGGTAATTATACCAGAGAACAATAGGATATTAATTAAATTTATAGTTTCGTTTAACATTAAGCTCAGGCTTCCCTAAGTGATCACTTGATGGTAACTGTAATACGGAATACACATTTTTAGTAGACTTCAACAAATAAAAGAGGATAACCGCATACAATCTCTCATACATTCGGTACGTTATTTTTGTATGTACATATGTTACTCGATATCTTCGTCAATTGCGGACCGATTTTAATTATTCTTTTTTTTATTAAATAGGTTATACTTCAGGAGTGGTCCCATATACATTTGAAGAAAAAGCTCCACCATAACGGTGGAAGAAAAGTGGGTGTTTTTAATGTAATTATTTAATTTAAATTCCATTTTTTGATATTTTAGTCCACTCAAAAGTGTTAAAAATTAGAGGTTTGATAAAAAGTAAAAGCCGACTTTAAAATACTACCTAAACTAAAAAAAGACTGCTGAAACAAATACACGAAAATATTTTTTTTTATACCAGTACTCACAGGGATAATAATTATAATTAATCTAATAAAATATTCGCCTTTTATATATTCGAAGTGCTCAGTCCCTTTTTTACTTTTTAAAATCTATTCAAAGCTTTGGAACTTGGAGCTCAAATATTTCCCATTATACATATGTTTCGTCTTTTATCAAATCTACCATACATATGTACAACTGTCATCATCCTGTTTTTATTTATGTATTTTTATTATTTTGTTTAGTTGTCTAATTTATGTACACCTTCCCTATTCGCTGTAAATAACGCGCCAAAAGATTGTCTAGAAGCGCATCCAGAGTATTTGTTTGTTTTCCTTTTAATGTGTTTTAGTGTACAAGAACGAATACATTGATTGATTTATTGGGAATATGACCAACATTATGATTTGTTACAGGTTGACATAATGTCAAGCGGGAGTTGTCCCGGCCCGGGGGTTTGTGGTGGGGCACGAAGACGCCCACCACCCCCACCGGAACCTGCACTATCCCTTGCTGCGGATCTGAGTGAGCTGAGCCTAGATCAGGGTTATCATACGCTTGCAGACTGCGGTCCGCCGAGAAGAAGGAGAGATAACACGCTTAGTGATGCACTTTGGTTGAAGATCCTTTCTTATTTAGAGGTAAGTTTAAATTTAAATTCATTTAAATGAACTCTTTGTTGAGTTTGAAATCGTTGTTGGAAAATAGTAATACGTAGGTCATTCAATAAGTTTTGAGATGCTCAAAATTCAAAAATGGAACGCTCCCGTGTTATATGTATCTAAAAAGCAAATTTACTTAAAAATAGAACTGTATAAGCCAATTGTTCAATATTAAAAAAAAACAAAGTTCTATGTATTTTCCTGCAACGCTTCCCGCGCTTTTCATTTAAAATGATGGCTCTTAATCGTGAACATTTGCGCGCTATGATATATTATGATTCTAAATTTAGTTTAACCGAACAATTAAGTTTACAACGGTTACAATCTGCATTAGGGGACTCAGCTCCATCACACGCAACAATTTTTAGGTGGTTTACTGAATTCAAAAGGGGTAAAATTAATCATAAAGATGACCAAATAACCGGGGCCCCGCAAACAGCAGTAACGGCAGAAAATGTATGGACTACTGAAATGTTGTTGCGAGAAGACCCACGAATCACATATACGGACAAAGATTGTAGGCATTAGTTGGGGGAGTATTCATAGCATCCTACATCAGCATTTTGGAGTGAGGAAGCTTTGTTCTCGATGGATCTATCGTTTGCTCTCCAAAAGCGAATAACAGACTCGTGTGGATTGGTGCCATGAAATGCGTCTACGTTTTGAAAACGGGGCATCTAGGCGTGTTTCAGAAATCATTACTGGTGACGAGACATAGATCTATCAATATGATTCGGAAAATAAAAGGCAATCATCGGTAGGGGTCTACTCAGAAGGAAACTTACCGACAAAATTGCAAAGACCTCGCAACGTCGGCAAAAAAATGGTGGCTAGTTTTTTCGCGGTGCGGACATTTGTCGACGTTAATGCTGGAAAATTGTAGTTCAGTCAACTCTGAATGGTATACTACAGTTGCATTACCCAAAGCTTTTCAGGCTGTGCGGGAGAGGACTAAAGACCGTGCTTCGGGGAATCATGCTGCATCACGATAACGCCTCTTCAAATACCTCCCTTAGAACTAAAGCATTTATTGAGGAATCTGGTGTTGAAACTCTAAGTCACCCACCGTACAGCCTTGACTTAGCTCCTTGTGATTTCTTTTTGTTCCCAAGAGTCAAAGACAAAATAAAATGCAAGTTTTTTTTCAAGTCCCGAGGAAGCCGTGGCTGCCTACGAAAAAGCGATTTTCGACCTGTGAGATCAAGACTGGCAAAAGTGTTTTTAGAGTTGGTTCAGGCGAATGGAACTTTGTATAGAGCATGATGGAGAATATTTTGAAAACACGTAGAATAAGTATTAATAGTATCTAGAATACTTTTTGTATATCTCAAAACTTATTGAGTGACCTACGTAGATAGTTTCGATACTAACTTAATTTATATGTTGCGTAAAATTTTGTATGACGTTTTTCTCATAGACGTTTCCATTAATTTTGACTAGCGAAAGACATTATTTTACCGCCGTGTCTTAAGTGCCCGTCACAGACTCCCACGGAATCGAGGCGTAGATGACGCGAATTAAAATAGAAGTGCGGCTTCATCGCCACGCTATGCACCAGTATGCTAACTTTGCCAGACCTGCACTTGCATGAGCCGTTTTTGTGGCATAATTCCTCTATATGTAGTAGTAAACTTCCGATCATTGTGGTAATCGGTCAGAAGAATATTGTATACATTCATCATTCATTACAGCTTATCAAAAGTATACTTCTGAATATAGGCCTCCCGCACAGATTGCCCCTTATTTGCTACTTGTAAATCCTCTCTTTGACTGTGTTAAATAATGTTAATTTCTTTTTGGCACGTAGTTCTTTATCGGACGGTACGGGTTTGGCGGATGGGAGCTAGGCAAAAAAAAGTGTAAGATTACGACTTAGGGATCTTCAAGAAAAGAGCCTACTACTTATTAAAAGGCCGGCAACGCATCTGAAATGCCCCTGGTTCCCTTGGTGTTGCGGTTGATCATGGGCGGCGGTAGTCACTTAACATCAGGTGAGCCGCATGCACGTTTGCCCTCTCTCCTATAAAAAAAATTTCCTCACTATTCCTTGTGTCATAGTGTAGACAGCCTTGGCGGCGAAATAAGGAAGTGAGATGGAATCCATCTCCATTGTACATTTTCTTATCTTGCCATGAAAGAAATATTATTTTATTTCAAACGACTCTTCACTTTAATAGACGCTAGTAAGTCATTTATTTGTATTTGTTAATCAATAATATAATACCTATGTACGTTTATCAATAATAATATATTAAGCAAGGAACTTCGGTCCAACCAAGTGTTCCACGACACTCATGCATTTTTTTTCTTTGGTTATAGACTATATACTTTTGCTAGACGGTATATACGGCTATTTGCGGCATACTTTTGCTAGTGTCACGTAAGAAGAAATTATCCTCTAAAATATGTAAACTTCTTTCTTCACAATATTTTATATACAACATATTGCTAAGTCGGGAGATTTTGACGACAGCTTAATCCCGTAGATAGTCGACGACGACAGTATCTCAAGTTCGTAAGGTGCCTAAGCGAACAAAATAAATTCAAGTTTATATTAATATCAAAATATTTGTTTCGTCATACCTATCCACTCCACCAATCCACACATTTAAATGTTAAATTATGTAAGTTCCCGCCAAAACTCATGTCAATTCTACCTTTATAATGAAATTTTTACATCATTTGAATAGAGGCAGTTTGTATTCATATTTGTTGTGGATAAAATGAAATATAATAATATTTTATTATATTGTACACAAAATGGTGGATGGATCGCAGCGCCACTGAATTTCTTCCTTGTAAAACACCTTAAAACCTGTCAATCAAATTAAAATTAATTTGATTCAAATTGTTATTGTTGCAGATATCGGACCTGTGTCGCATGTCACGGGTGTGTCGACGCTGGGCGAGGTTCGTGTCGCGTCTGAGCGCGCGCCCGGAGCCGTGGCGGCGCGTGCGTGCGGCCGGCCCGCTGGAGGTGGCCGCGCGCTGCGCAGGCGCACGGGCCGGGCCATGTGTCAACGCGGTCAGGGAATGGCGGATCAAGAATTGCGCGGTAATTATCACTTATTTAAGCTACAAGACAAGGTATGATTGACTTCCCAAAGACTAGTTATTGGCAGAATTATCGTGACTATAAATCACATTGTTTAATAGTATCTTATTTAAGCTGTAGTAGCCTAATGGTAGGGTGCGGAATGCATGCTCAAAAGGTCGTTGGTTCGAATCCGCCATTCGCCTACTGTCGTGAACCACTCCTAACACAAGCATTTTAAGCTTACTAGGAGTAGTAAAAGGGAATATTAGTAATGTTAAATAGCATTAATAGTATTTAAAAAAAATCTTAGTATTGATAGTGATGCCACATATAGGTGACGGCAAAATACAATCCACCATCTCATATAGACTCTCTTAAGCCTAATTTACCAACTAAGGCTTCATCACCAATTACATCTACCAGAGGGGATCGTGGTTAACCACTGGCTTATAATAAGTATAAAAGTGCGGAAACATAAGTATTTACACGAGAACAAATAAATAAAAGTTTTTTTTTATTAAGGTACGTGAGTGTACCCTTCTGAGCCGCGTCTACGTGCTGTTTTCGAGAGTCATTACGAATCGTCTCGCGCGCAGACTTGACGACTTCCAGCCTCCCGAACAAGCCGGTTTCCGAAAAGGCTTTAGCACCATAGACCACATACATACCCTTTAGCAAATTGTACAGAAGTCCGAGGAGTACAATTTGCCACTATGCCTGGCGTATGTGGACTATGAGAAAGCCTTTGATTCCGTCGAAATTTGGGCGGTGCTGCAGTCCCTTCAGCGATGCCAAGTTCACTGTCGGTATATCGAAGTGTTGAAGTGCTTGTACAGTAGGGCTACGATGGCTATCCGAGTACAGAACCAGAGTACGAAACCTATCCAATTGCAGAGAGGTGTAAGACAGGGTGACGTCATATCCCCGAAACTCTTTACATCTGCATTAGAAGATGTTTTCAAGCTTCTGAACTGGAAAGGATACGGTATCAACATCAATGGCGAGTACATCACTCACCTTCGATTTGCCGACGATATAGTCCTTATGGCAGAATCGCTGGAGGACCTAAGCACTATGCTCAATGACCTTAATAGTGTTTCCCAACGGATAGGTCTTAAGATGAACATGGACAAAACAAAGATCATGTTTAATGTCCATGTCACACCTATGCCGGTAGTTGTTGGGAACACTAAGCTCGAAGTTGTTGACGAGTATGTTTACCTGGGACAAATAGTCCGACTAGGTAAGTCCAACTTCGACCGAGAGGTCAATCGACGGATTCAACTCGGTTGGGCAGCGTTCGGGAAATTACGGCACATCTCCTCGTCAGGTATACCTCAAAACTTGAAAACGAGACTGTACACCCAGTGCGTGTTGCCAGTGATGACATACGGAACTGAGACGTGGTCCTTCACTGGTGGCCGGATGAGGAAGCTCAAGGTCGCTCAGCGAGCTATGGAGAGGGCTATGCTCGGAGTTTCTCTGCGTGATAAACTCAGAAATGAGGATATCCGCAGTAGAACTAGAGTGACCGACATAGCCCAACGGATTAGTAAGCTGAAGTGGAAATGGGCCGGCCATATAGCTCGAAGAACCGACAACCGATGGGGAAGAAAGGTTCTCGAGTGGTAGCCTCGTACCGGCAGGCGAAGTGTAGGGCGTCCCCCCACTAGATGGAGTGACGACCTGGTAAGAACTGAAGTCGATGGATGCAGGTGGCTCAGGACCGTGCTTTGTGGCATTCTTTGGGGGAGGCCTTTGTTCAGCAGTGGACTTGTGAAGGGCTGTAATGATGATGATGATGATGATGATGAGTGTAATATGGTCACTTTAAGCTTTGCCGCCCTATAAAACCAAAATTACGAGGAGAACACAGCCGAAAACACAAAATCGTATACTATAACTAATTTATTAAGAAAAAAAGCAAACAAGCTTTGGCAATAATTAGGAACACAAAATCGACTAAAATTCTCGGTAGATAGTAATTGTGTTCTGTAGACTAAATACGCTAGTAATATATAAGTCAACGAGACTAAAATACTTATTGTAACGTCAACTGTCAAAAATTCGCCGATAAAGCAGCGTCCTTTTGAACATTTGTTATTTGATTGACTGATGAAGAGCTATCGTATCTCAGAGACATCTATGTAAACAAGGCTGTAGTTTTTGAATTATAAGAAAGCGACCGTATTAACCTGGTGACAATATTACCCTCACGTACTATACTATATGTTTATCTTGAATTTTTACATTTAAGTGTATTACCACGTGTTCGAGTGTAAAGGACAACATCGCGAGGAACCCTGTATGTGTGAGAAATAAAAAAAAATATTTCGAAGATATGTGAAGTCCGTCAATACGCATTGAGTAAAACTACTACGGTTTTACGTGTAAACTTAGTCCATCCTCCAGGTCACCAATGGAATTTTCAAATGCCATCATTCAGTTCTTTTTACCACGTGACCGGGGGTAAAGGGAACCACGTGAGGAATACTGCATGTACGCACTCACAATGTAGCACGCATTGGGCAATATCTGCATATGCAGGTTGTGATTTTACTTTTTATAAAATTAAAGTGATAATCAAAATTACTTGACTGCGAGAGAATGCCTTAAGGCATTAAGTCCGCCATATGTACGATTTTTCTTCTGTGCATAAAAGTTTAAATAAATAAATAAAATTACAGTTCTTCTGATCAGAGCCTACAGACACACACACACACACACACACACACACACACACACACACACACACGAACAGACACACACATACACCTGCAACCAACTTAAAACTTTGGACTAAGATGAAGTGCCTCACAGCTTCTAATTGTATTGGCTTTCTATACCCTTCAGATAGGCAGAAATAGGTAAGAGGGTAGTTATCGGCGCAGATAGACTCCCAGGTTGAAAAATGTCCTACCACCTACTTAACTTTTTACTATATTACACTTTTACTATAATACACATAAACAAAATTGAAGTGTCTGTTTGGAATGTCAAAATAACAGCTTTTTACTAAATGCATATGAAAGTATGTACGGCACTTATAACAAAAAAAATTATATTTTTGCCTGTCTAACAGGAGGTTCTATCTGTAAGGAGTACTAACTTAAGCTGTAACTAACTTAAGCTTTTATTTAAAAAAATGAAATTCAATCGTAATAAATTCTACGCGGTCGAAGTCGCGGTGAACAGCTAGTTAATAATATAAAATGACTGTTCTAATCTTTGCAAATCACTATTTGTGAAACTTTATCGTAAAACCATTTTTCGATACAAGTTTTATTAATGTTGACATCATCAACCTTTGGAAATTTTAATAAGACTTTCTAGATAGATGGTGTACATTGTATATGAAATTATTCCCTTTGTTAAAATAACGGTTACCAAGTCACGTTGTGTTCGTCGAAAGCGCGGTTCCACGGCGAACGTTGCTAATGGGCTGGAGATATTCAGCATGTCCACTTCTAATAGTATGAGAGATTTAAACAACTGATAATAAAATATAATGGTTTAACATTACTTTTGTGTGAATCGTTGCATTGTTTAATGGCGGCTGATAAAAGTTCTGCATAATGTTGTTACTAACAAGACTCCTCCAGTTCTTGATTTATATGTTGAGTTAGAAAATACTTCGTCATTTTATTGATGCCTATATCTTTCTCTTTATCACCTAGCAAAAGTTTATCTCTACTAGCAAAAGATTACTTGTTACTTCGATGTGTAGTGCTGACGCAAGAATATTTACAACCTCAAATCATTCCGTGGATGACGTAAGAGGCGACAGAGGAAAATTGAAACAGAAGATGAGCAACCATATCTTCCTGATAACTGAAAATAATAAAAAAATATAATAAAGTGGAAGAGTTTTTTTTTAAAGTTTTTGTTGCTTTGCCTCTCTGCTAGCCTTAAATATTGATTTTTGTTAAGCAAGTCAGACTCAGCCTCGTCCAACTGCTATTCTCTCAACCTATTCAGTCCCACCATTAATGAAAAAAATGAAAAAAGAAGAGTAAGTTTGTACAGCGGTTGCACTCCCTCTCCATCAAAGTGCACCTCACAAACATCTGAGGCCTGCACTGTAATCTCAATGCAGTCCAATACCACCTTGAGACTGACAAGCCGCACTAACTCTTCTTGAATGAGACGCAGATCAGATGCCCTCTAGATGCGGCGTACCTTGGCTACCCTGGGTACACATTGGAAGATAATTTCCATCAGCGCGCCGGAGTATGTGTTTACGTCCGCAACGACATCTGCTGTAAGCGTCTCCGTCACCTTGAAGACCCCACTTTCTCTACGATCTGATAGATACAGGAATGGATAAAATTATTTATTCTTGAGTCTACCGATCGCACACCGGTGACCAGGAGACAACTAGGCTGTTTGAACACCTCAGTGAAGCTTCTGATATGGCTCTAAATCGGTACCCTAATGCACAGTTGGTTTTTCTAGTCGACTTTAATGCCTGTCATTAGAACTGGCTGTTCCCATACCAGAAGACTGACCACTTTACTCGCTGGGGCTGTCCCAGCTGGTACAACAAGCGACTAGGGTACCTGATGTGGATGGGCACACAGCTAACTGCCTCGACTTTCTGCTGACTATCGATCCAGACAGGTACGATGTTCAGGTTACCTCACCCTTGGGAGCTTCTGACCACTGTCTGGTGAAATCTGTGTCGTTATATTCCTCACCTAACTACGATTTCCACGGTGTGCGACGAGTGTGGCGATACAGGTCAGCAGATTGGGATGAGAAGCGGCATTTCTTTGCATCTTATCCTTGGCGGCAGGTTTGCTTCTTCTCTGAAGACCCGTCAAGGTGCGCGGATGACATAACCAATGTGATACGTCAAGCAATGGAGTATTTCATCCCCTTGGCTGACGTGCCCATTGGTGGTAAAGCTCGCCCATGGTTTAACGCCGAGTGCGCTGGTGCTGAAAATTACAAGCATATGGCGTACTTATCCTGGGTCGAAGCTCAAGACCGTAAAGCTCCGGATGTTAGCCTTAAAA